TGGAGTTTTGCTCTTCTTGCCCAGGCTAAAGTGGAATGGTGCAATCTTGGCTCACTGCAACCTCTGCTTCCCAGTTCAAGCGATTCTCCTGCCTCAGCCTCCCGAGTAGCTGGAATTACAGGCATGCACCACCGTGTCCAGCTAATTTTTTGTATTTTTAGTAGAGACACAATTTTGTCATGTTGGTCAGGTTGGTCTCGAACTCCCTACCTCAGGTGATCCGCCTACCTCAGCCTCCCAAAGTGCTGGGATTACAGGAGTGAGCCACTGTGCCTGGCTGGCTCTTCCTAGTTTTATCCCAGTCCTGTCTGCACTTCCTTCTCCTTGGTTTGAACTTCCACTGCTGCCCTCCTCACCCCATCCCATTGTGCCCTCTAGAAGCCTGTTCTGTTGTTAACAAACTGCCCTAAGTTCTCAGCTGTACCACTGAATACTCTTTCACTCTCCTCACCTTTCCCTATGGATACTGGATCCCAAAGAAGACAGGTCTTCAGATGGAGAGGAACTACTGTACTCAGGGAACTACATCAGAGGAGCCTCATGCTGCTACTGTGAAAGCTGGGGATTTGCGGGAGGTTTTGGGAGGGGGTGCGTATATTTTGCATGTGGGAGGGTGGCTCAAGCCTGTAATCCCAGCACTTTGGGAGGCCGAGGCAGGTGGATCACGAGGTCAAGAGATCGAGACCATCCTGGTCAACATGGTGAAACCCCGTCTCTACTAAAAATACAAAAAATTAGCTGGGCATGGTGGCGCGTGCCTGTAATCCCAGCTACTCAGGAGGCTGAGGCAGGAGAATTGCCTGAACCCAGGAGGCGGAGGTTGCGGTGAGCCGAGATTGCGCCATTGCACTCCAACCTGGGCAACAAGAGCGAAACTCCGTCTCAAAAAAAAAAAAAAGAAAGTAAATGGCACCATGGCGTAGGCTGTGAGGATTTAAAGAATATCCACACACACACACACACAAAAGAATATCCACAAATTCTTTGACATTCCTTTCAAAAGACAGACCCTAATTTTTCTCCCCTTGAGTGTGGTCTGGTCTTAATAACTCACTTCTAACAAATAGAATAAGACAGAAATGATAGTGTGATTTCTGAGCCTGGATCATATAAGACATTGTGGCTTCACTGTCTCCCTTGGATCACTTGCTCTAAGAGAAGCCAGTGGCCATGTCACAAGGACACCCAAGCAGCCGCAAGGAGAAGCACATGGCAAGGAACTGAGCCCTCCTGCCAAAAGCCACATGAGGGTGCCATTCTGAAAGCAGGTCCTGGAGTGTTGTTAACCCTTCAGATGATTGCAGCCCCAGCCTCAACATCTCAACTGCAACCTCCTGAAGGGCTCTGAGCCAGAACCACCTAGATATGCCAGTCCCTAATATTTGGCCACAGAAACTTTCAGATAATAAAATGCTTGTTTACCTATGTAACAAACCTGCATGTCCTGCACATGTATCCTGGAATTTAAAATAAAATAAAATGTAAAAAAATTACAGGCCGGGCACGGTGGCTCACGCCTGTAATCCCAGCACTTTGGGAGGCTGAGGTAGGAGGATCACCTGAGGTCAGGAGTTTGAGACCAGCCTGGCCAACATGGTGAAACCCTGTCTCTACTAAAAATACAAAAATTAGCTGGGCATGGTGGTGGCACGCCTGTAATCCCAGCTACTTGGGAGGTTGAGGCAGGAGAATCACTTGAACCCAGGAGGCAGAGGTTGCAGTCAGTGGACATCACACCTTTGCACTCCAGCCTGGGCAACAAGAGCAAAACTTTGTTTAAAAAAAAAAAAAAGAAAGTTTATTTGTTTATTTTGCCAAGGTTGAGGACACTTACCCGTGACACAGCCTCAGGAGGTCCTGATGACATGTGCCCAAGGTGGTCAGAGCACAGCTTGGTTTTACACATTTTAGGGAGACAGAAGACATCAATCAATATATGTAAAATGAACATTGGTTTGGTCTGGAAAGGCAGGACAACTTGAAGTGGGGAAGAGGGCTTCCAGGTCACAGGTAGGTGAGAGACAAATGGTTGCATTTTCTGATTAGCCTTTCCAAAGAAGGCAATTAGATACACATTTATCTCAGTGAGCGAAAGGATGACTTTGAATAGAATGGGAGGCAGGTTTGCCACATGCAGTTCCCAGCTTGAATTTTCCCTTTAGCTTAATGATCTTGGGGGTCCAAGATATTTTCCTTTCACAGGATGAAGGTTGGGCAGATTTGTTAGCAGCTCCTTCTAAGACTGATGGTTTTGTAAACTTAGGGTTTCTTAGCTGTTACATCAATGCATTGTGTGCACAGGATCCACCCAAGCTGCTCTGCATGTCCCCTGTGGGATGCAGAGGACAAGGGGAACTGAGGCAAACAAGCTTACACTGCCTGCTGCGCCACAAATAAGAGTCTTTTGTCCTTGACCCATATGTCTCATGTCTTCTGCCAGCATCTCTGAGCCTCTGAAACTATGGCAGGTTAACTTGCTAGCTTGTAACTAGGGTAAAATTTTGGATCCTCCCTGTTCTTGACACCTTTACACACACTTGACTATAAGTGCCTTGAGAGTAGGGACTGTGTCTCAATGGACTTTGCTTACCCTGTAGATGACAGAAAGTAGTTGCTTGTGGTAGGTAGTAACTACCTACTAATGCAGCTTCGGTCTAAAGGACTTTGGATGTAAGCACTCAGATTTATTTACTGAATCCAGCTCTTGAAAAAATTGCCATGACTCCTTGCTTAGCCACAGATCTTCTTCCCCAGGTCATTAGATATTGTACATTCCTTGGGTTTGCAGAAGGTGAAACCTCAGAGAAACTGAAGTTTTGGGGGCTAAAAATTGCTACAGATAATTCACACTGTGAATAAGCCCTACTGCAGATAGTGCAGGTGACTAATTTATCAGACTGGGTATTTCGGGGAGGTAGTGTGCTCTGGTGCAGTGAGGATGGAAATGCCGGTCTTTGTTATTAGCCTCACAATAACATCAAATATACCACGCCATTTCCCAGAAGAGTCAGGATGATTGCAAACAGACCTGTCTGAGCTCGAACGAAGGAATGAATGAGAGCTTCTGGTGCCTGATCTCTTACAAGTAAATTCTTCTAATAAGTAAGCCCAGTCACGATCCTTTTGCAAAATGAGTAAGCCCAGTCATGACCAGGCAAGACTGCTGGCTGGGCTTGCTCATGTGAGGGAAACCTTCCCGGCTGCAGTTTTAATCTGGGTTTTGAAGTGGAAGCTCATCTAGCCATCCTTTTCTGGTTTAGGAGGAGGGTAAAAAGAATCTTGAGAGCATTTGAGCAGACATAGCTTTCAGAGGCAGACAAAGACAAGGGGGGAAATGCTTTGCTCACAGTCTATGGCTGACGGCTATAAAGGATCACTTCATTTCATTTGTTATTTTTCTTTTCTTTTTTTTTAAGACAGGGTTTCACCTTGTTGGCCAGGCTGGTCTTGAACCCCTGACCTCAGGTGATCTGCCTGCCTCGGCCTCCTAAAGTGCTGAGATTACAGGCGAGAGCCACCACGCCCGGCCTATTGTCATTTTATAGATTAAAAAACTGTATGCTAGCAGTGAAGTTGTCACGTGGGGAAAAAAAAAGAAAAGAGAAAAAAACAGGTATACTGGGTAAATTACTGAGATAGGTGATTGCTTTGGGAGTTCCAATTGAACTCATTTCTATTTCATTAGACTGCTCAATTTATCTTGTTCCTTTGGCTCTGTTAAAAGAGAAAAATTACAACGAATTTAGTTTAAACATCTTAACTGGCTTTTAGTTCCAATTCTACAATTGGGCAATGCTTCATTCTGTAAAATGGAATGAGTGTTCCAATGAGAAGCGGAAGTTGGTTTTACAGTTACAGACAGAAAAGGGCCCAGGAAAGCAGAAACAAAAAGTGGATTGGTTGGTACAAATTTACTTTTCTTGTAAAAGTTAAAGAACAGGGGACTTTTTCATGCCAGCTAAAACTGGCCTGCTTGGGGATTTTTAAGACAGGGTCTCTTTCTAGCGCCCAGGCTGGGGTGCAGTAGAGGCACGATCTAAGCTTACTACAGCCTCCAGGCTCAAGTGATCCTCCCTCCTCAGCCTCCCAAGAAGTTGGGACTACAGGTGCCGGCCACCACGCCTAGCTAATTTTTTCTTTCTTTCTTTTTTTTTTTTTTGGTAGAGACAGGGTATCACTATGCCTAGGCTGGTCTGGAACTCCTGAGCTCAGGCGATCCGCCCACCTCGGCATCCCAAAGTGCTGGTATTACAGACGTGAGCCACCGCGCCCAGCCTGTTTGGGGATATGGCTAGCATTTCTCTCTCTCTCCTGATTTCTTGGAAGGTCAGATAAAGATCTTAGCTTTGGTGTGGTGGTGTGGAACTTCAGCACGAATAACTCCATTTTGGTTTGGTTTGAGCCGAATGTAGGAGCTCAGTCTGAACTAACAACCTCCTTCTACATTTTATCTAACAGCTCTGACACCATTCCTGCACACCCGGGGAACTTGGGTGCAGCATTCCGCATTTTCTCCAGTCCCATAATCCAGAGGTTGGGCCTGGAGCAGGCTTGCCTCGCCAAGTTCAGGCTCTGTGCGTGAGTGAAGCAGTGCCATGCCCGAGTGGGGAGGAGCCGCGGAAGAGAAAGCCTAAGGCAAAGTGAAAAGGGGTGGGGCACGCTGGGACCCGCTCACCTCTCATGCACACAGCCCAGCCCAGCCCAGCAAGGCAGTCACACCAAGGCAGGAAACGAGGGCCGAAGGGCGCGAAGGGCTGTAGGTGGCGCCCCTGTACTCCACTCGTTCTGACAGGGCTCGGAAAGAGAAGCGGTCCCTCAGAAGCGCTGGCTGCGCTAGCTTAGGGTGAACGTGGGTAACGCTCACCCTAAGCTAGCGCAGGCGCCCTATGCGGGGGTTTGTTTCTGTGGGAGACCCGCACCAGCACAGAGACAGAGAGATGAAGGAATGTACGTGACCCCGGTGGGGCGCCAACGCGCCCTGTTGCCCCGGGCACGCGCCGACGCCCCGCCCTGTCCGTGACGAGCTCGTACGGGGCCTCCGCCCCATCCCCCTCCCGCGCGGGCCCCAGCGCTCTGCCTCTGCCGTTCCCCGCCCCATCGCCTCTGAGGCTGCCCTAATAGCTGCCTGATCCAAGGCCCAGCAGCGTCTGCTTTCCTGACCCCCGCCGACGGACAGAGGCAGGCCACTTGCAGGAACGGTGCGCTCTCGGTCCACGTGGCCGCTCCGGAGCAGGTTGGAGTGGGCAGCAGGCGGCGCTGCGGGGACAGGCGCGGCGGACAGCCCCGGGGACAGCGGCGGGGTCCTGGCTGGGAGAGGACAGGGTTGCGGCGGGCGGAACGGTGTCTCCTTCACTTCGCCCTCCAGCCGCTGCAGCTGTAGCTCGACCGCGAACTTGCCGAGTGGTTTCAGCAGCTAGCGGAGCGGTGGCGGCGGCCCCCCTCAGGAGACCACCAGGTACCGCCGCGCCCGCCTCACGCGGACCCAGGGGCCTACGCCCCGGCGGCCAAGCGGGAGGCCTGCACCGAACTCCGGGTCGGCCCTGGCTCCCTAAGATGGCCGCGCTGCCCCGCGGTCTCTCGTCCCTTTCTGTGCGGGACCTCCTTTTGGCCCTTTGACCCCAGCTGACCGCACTTCTTGTCCCTCCCGCAGATCTCTTCTTCCCGCGGCCTCGCCATGGCTACCCACGGACAGACTTGCGCGCGGCGTAAGTAGAGCGGGGATCTCTACGGGATGAGGCGGCGGTGGACGGGGAGTCGAAGCCTGTCGACCAGAAACCCGCAGTTTGTTTCCCCTCGTCTTTCCAAGGACTTGGAAATTCGGCTTATTTTAGTGGTCGCGCCACCGTCTGACCACCTCTGCGGAGGAGGGGCTGTGCTGCTGGATTTCAAATAGGGGAACAAGGCCCCGGGGAGTTGTTCTGTGGCCGCGTGGACTTTTAGCTTTTGTACATGTCTTTGACGTACAGAAGTAAAAAGTTATTAATTGGGGATTCCATCTTTGGAGAATCGGATTAGTCGCTTCTAGAGGAAGTAGCAGCCCCTCTCGTGAGAGCACAAGGTCATTACTTGTGCTCCTAAGGGCGTGGACGTGCTTTGTGGAATGAATGAGCGGGTGTAACGAGCTCAGATTGCTTGCCCTTAAGCAGCACAGCATTGGCTAAGGACTTGAGAGTCATATTAATAAGTTTGAAGCGCTATTTGATACTTAGTTGATACAGACACTTGAGTGAAACAGATGGCAGTATGTTTTCCAAGTTTCAGTATTGAAATTCCCAGAGTATTAAGTTCTCTTCCCACTCCAGAATGTTGGTTTTCACCTCAGCGAAGACACTAAAGGATGTGTCAGGGGAAAGGGCCTAGTCTTAAGTTTTGATTTTATCTCATTTAGTTAAATCAGCTAATCTCAGTGAATTTTGGCAGATACATACATATCTATACACACAAATACTTGTTTGTGTTTTTTGTACCTGTCCAGTCTTAGAAAGTGAGGCTGTGGGTACTCTAAATTTTGCAATAGGCTGTTTTTCTATTTTGGAACAAATTTCCCATTTCGTATAACCATGGTTATCTATTTTAGAAATAATTTGTTGGTGGTATCTCCTTTGTTATAGTTTTATTGTAGCTCCTGATTGCATAAAAAACATAATTCCAACAAATGAGATCGCTCGGATTTAAAGATCAGCAGTGATCATACTCTAGTTCTTGGATAGAAGATGGGAGAATAGAGACATTAACACTGGAATTTTTTTTCTACTAGCTATGTGTATTCCTCCATCATATGCTGACCTTGGCAAAGCTGCCAGAGATATTTTCAACAAAGGATTTGGTAAGAACTTTATTTTTAAAACGTTTTAGGTAAGAGTGAAAATTTATGTTTGAGTTTCTTGGAAATCAGATGAATCGTTGCAAATTGCTAATATCTTGCTGCTTTAAATTTGGACTTATTTATTTTTTTGAGACAGGGTCTCCTACTGTTGCCCAGGCTGGATGAGTGGCATCATCATAACTCACTGCAGCCTGGGCTCAAGTGATTGTCTTACCTCAGCCTCCCAAGTCCCATGTAGCTGGGACTACAGGAATGCTCTGCCACACCTGGCTAATTTTTTAAATTTTTTGTAGAGGTGGGGTCTCACTATGTTACCCAGTAACACAGTGGCCTCTCAAAGCCTGCTGGGATTACGTTACAGGCATGAGCTGTTGTGCCCAGCCTTGTATTCTGTTAGATGCTTAATATACTTAAACTTCTGTGAAAATAGTTCTTTTACAGTCCACAGCCCCCTTCCCCAATTTCCCCGAGTTTTTTAAAACTATAGCTAGAGGATTTTAACTTTTAAGAAAAAGCAAAAGCGGCTTGTGCTTTAATTTTTTTTCAATTACAGCTTAGGCCTTGGTTGACTAGAGTTGTGACATATTACTGTTTGGCTTTTGTGATAAGTCCTAATACTTTCCAGAGTTGCGAGCTTTTTCCCGTGAATTTGAATTTTCTTAAAGATTGTTCCACACCCTTCCCTACCTTTAGGTTGTTGGAGATACCCCATTGGCATAAATGTCCTAAATGTCATACAGAGTTTTTTTGTTTTTGTTTTTGTTTTTGTTTTTGAGACAGAGCCTTGCTCTTTCCTAGGCTGGGGTGCAGTGGTGGGATCTCGGATCACTGCAGCCTCCACCTCCTGGGTTCCAGTGATTCTCCTGCCTCATCCTCCCAGGTAACTGGGATTACAGGCACATGCCACCACACCTGGCTAATTTTTTTGTATTTTTAGTAGAGACGATGTTTCACCATGTTGGCCAGGCTGGTCTAGAACTCCTGACCTCAGGTGATCCCTTTCTGAGGGATCTGGCTGTGGCCTCCCAAAGTGCTGGGATTATAGGCATGAGCCACCATGCCTGGCTGTATATTAACACATTTTTATCCACCCCTGAATGTGGAATTTTTTTTTAATGTATAGTCAACAATTGCTATGCATCTTTCATACAAAAGAATCATTTTGTTATCTTTTGCTCTCTACTTGTTGAAGGTTTTGGGTTGGTGAAACTGGATGTGAAAACAAAGTCTTGCAGTGGCGTGGTGAGTGTTACTATGAAATAAATTCTGTTGAACCTTTATGATTTTTCAATTTCTAAAATAGTCATACTGAAAGATGTCTACCTGTTTTGTCTTAAAGAAGTGGTAGAAGTTAACTTTGTTTTAAGAGATTTACGGCCAGGTGTGGTGGCTCACGCCTGTAATCCCAGCACTTTGGGAGACTGAGGCGGGTGGATCACCTGAGGTCAGTCAAGAGTTGGAGACTAGCGTGGCCAAGATAGTGAAAACCCGTCTCTACTGAAAATACAAAAATTAGCCGGGTATGGTGGTGCATGCCTGTAATCCCAGCTACTTGGGAGGCTGAGACAGGAGAATTGGTTGAACGCAGGAGGCGGAGCTTGCAGTGAGCTGAGATCTCGCCATTGTTCTCCAGCCTGGGCGATAAAGTGAGGCTCCATTCTCCAAAAAAAAAAAAAAAGAAAAAAAAAAAGAAGGATTTGCATGGAACCTGATTTATTATTTTGGCTTTGGATATGATTTCTGATTTTCATATTACTTATGCACAAGGAACTTGGGAAAGACAGGTCAGGTGATACTTCAGTACTCAGTAAGATTACATATTTGAAGGCAAAGAAACTATTACATTTTTTTGTAACTCTTTGTCAATGCTTGTAAGAGTTAAGGGCATAAAAATATCAGTAACTCAAATTGAATGTACTGATCATTTATACAGTGTCCATTTTCTAACAGTTCTCCCTGGTGAAGATTGCCACATGTACTTTGTGAGTTTAGGGAGTCCTGATCTGAATTTTTTTGTTCCTTGAGATGGAGTTTTGCACTGTCACCCAGGCTGGAGTGCAGTAGTGCAATCTTGGCTCGCTACAACCTCTGCCTCCTGAGTTCATGTGATTCTCCTGCCTCAGTCTCCTAGTAGTTGTGATTATAGGTGCCCGCCACCATGCCTGACTGATTTTTGTATTTTTAGTAGAGCTGGGGGGTTTCACCATGTTGGCTAGGCTGGTCTTGAACTCCTGACCTCAGGTGATCCACCCACCTCAGCCTCACAAAGTGCTGGGATTATAGGTGTGAGCCACTGTGCTCCGCCAAGAATATTGTTTAAAGAGGTTATTATTTTGGTATTTGAATGTCTTGATAGCTCAATGAACTCTTACAAAGGGGCAAGAGTGAAATATAATTTTTGATACAGGGTCTCGCTCTGTTGCCCAGGCTAGAGTGGAGTGAGTGCAGTGGCACAATCTCACTGCAGCCTTGACCCCTGGGTTCAAGCAGTCTTACCACTTCAACCTCCCAGGCAGCTGGGAGTACAGGTCTTATCCATCATGTCCAGCTAATTTTGGTAGTTTTTTTAAGATACGATGTTTTGCCATGTTGCCTAGGTGATCCACCCGCCTTGGCCTCCCAAAGTGCTGGAATTATAAATGTGAGCCACCACGTCCAGCTAGTAAAATTTAACTTTATGCAATTTTTTTTTAACTCTAAAATTTTTTGTTTTGAGATTGTTTTGGGGGTGGGTATAAGTGTGTGCATATGAGAATACTATAGGTTATTTTGATATATGTATATATATTTTCACATATTTTTGATGTAGTACATATAACTGGTATTTATTTAAACTAATGTTGTAGTTTCTTTTTTTTTCCCACGAGATGCAGTCTTTCTCTGTCACCCAGGGTGTAGTGCAGCGGAGCAATCTCAGCTCACTGCAACCTCTACCTCCCAGGTTGAAGTGATTATCCTGGCTCAGCCTCCCAAGTAACTGGGATTGCAGGTGCACACCACCATGCCCGGCTAATTTTTGTATTTTTAGTAGAAACAGCGTTTCACCATGCTGGCCATTCTGGTCTCGAACTCCTCACCTCAAGTGATCCTAAAGTGCTGGGATTATAGGCTTGAGCCACAGCACTCGGCCTATAGTTGCTTAAAAGCCTAGACCTGTTGGATTTCTGGGGTTTTTATATTGAGCATATCTGTCACTTGGTTTCTTTGCTCTGAAAGGAAGCCTAGGTGTTTAGTTATGATTGGATGACTTACTTGGCCAAGTTAACAGGTTACAGAGCAGTGATTTAGTCTGTTTTTTTATGTTCCCATTGTTAGTCTATTGAGGGCCCTAGTTGTATTTGTTTAAGCACAAAAGGCCTTCTAAAAAAGACTCAATCCTTGTCTTTAAAAAGCTTACTTTCTAGTTGGAGAGACAGATTGAGAAGACTGAGATAATTATATCAAATACTAGATTGTTTGATAAACCAAATCTTTGTTGGAAAGGAATAGATTATTGTTTAAAAGGTTAGGAAGAGTTGTATGGGAGTAGGTTTAAGAGCATGAAGAATGTGTAGGAGCTGGATTAGATATAGCATGTTTTTATTCACATTTAATACATGTAATTGAAAAACCATGGTATTGATCCTGTAGTATGAACCTGGTTCTAGGTAAGTTTCATTAATACCTGGCTCTGTTTTCTTACTTGAACTGCAGAGCTACTGAGGCCACCCCAGAATGTAGAAACCAGAATGTCTGGTGGAGGAGTAAAAGGATGAGCTGTAATCTGGCCCAGTGCTGGGTGGTGGTGGCTTTGTTTCTTGAGGCTTCCTTGGCATGTGTATGTAGGCTTGCTCTTGATCTGTGGACTGATGGATGGCAGTGGATGGGGCCCCAAGAGTCATTAATGTCATTCAGGATTAAAAATAGCTATTCACACATTACTCATTCATACATCTGCTAGAAGAACCTGTTCCATATATTATTTTAATAATGCTTTCCATTTGTGTAGAGCATATGAAAATGTACAAAGCTTTTATAGTGTCAATTCAGTTTAATCATCCATAGGTAGGCTTTGTAATTATAGTTGCAAAAACAGACCCAAAAAAGTTAAGTAAGTTACAGTGGCTCATTCCTGTAATCCTAGCACTTTGGGAGGCCGAGGCAGGAGGGTCACTTGAGCCCAGGAGTTCTGAGACTAACCTGGGCAACAAAGCGAGACCTCATGTCTACAAAAAAATTTAAAAATTAGCTCAGCTTGATGGTGGGCACCTGAAGTCCCAGCTACTTGGGAGGCTGAGATGGCAGGATCGCTTGAGCCCAGGAGTTTGAGGCTGCAGTGAGCTGTGACTGTTGCACTGTACTCCAGCCTGGGCGACAGAGCGAGACCCTGTCTCCAAAAAAAAAAAAACAGTTGGCCGAGCATGGTGGCTCACATATGTAATCCCAGCACTTTGGGAAGCCAAGGTGGGTGCATCTCCTGAGGTCAGGAGTTTGAGACCAGCCTGGCCAACATGGTAAAACTCCGTCTATGCTAAAAATACAAAAATTAGCTGGGCTTGTTGGTGGGCACCTGTAATCTCAGCTACTTGGGAGACTGAGGCAGGAGAATCACTTGACCCTGGTAGGCAGAGGTTGCCGTGAGCTGAGATTGCGCCATTGCATTCCATCCTGGGTGACAGAGTGAGACTTGGTCTCAAAAGAAAAAAAAAAGATGTAGAGTTGGCCAGGCGCAGTGGCTCATGCCTGTAATCCCAGCACTTGGGAAGCTAAGGTGGGCGGATCACCTGAGGTCAGGGGTTCGAGACCATCCTGGTCAACATGTTGAAACCCCGTCTCTACTAAAAATACAAAAATTAGCTGGGCATGGTGGTGCATGCCTGTAATCCCAGCTACTCTGGAGGCTGAGGCAGGAGAATGGCTTGAACCAAGAAGTTGGAGATTGCAGTGAGCCAAGATTGCACCACTGCACTCCAGCCTGGCAACAGAGTAAGACTCCATCTCAAAGAAAAAAAAAATAAAGATGTACCGTTTGCTCACTTGAGAATTAGCTACAGGTTAACTTGTGATTGATTGGAAATGTCAGCTGTGTGTAAAGTGGCAGTCAGTTGCTCAAAGGCTTGTCACTCTTGTATGTGCTTAGAGAGTAGCAATTTACCAAATGTTTCACTGGTTTTTTTGCGTGTGTGTGAGTTAGGCAGTGATGAATTCTAGGCTTATGAGAATGTTCATGAAGTTATTGATTGTCTTGTTAGGAATTCTCAACGTCTGGCTCATCTAATACAGACACTGGTAAAGTTACTGGTACCTTGGAGACCAAATATAAGTGGTGTGAGTATGGTCTGACTTTCACAGAAAAATGGAACACTGATAACACTCTGGGAACAGAAATCGCAATTGAAGACCAGGTAACATTTTGAAAATGTGTTTTAGTATTAATTTTTATTTTTGTATTTCAAAAAATAACAACGCAGAAAACAAATTACTTTTCTTTCAAAATAGATTTGTCAAGGTTTGAAACTGACATTTGATACTACCTTCTCACCAAACACAGGGTAAGCACAGCCATTTTTATCTGCATTACATTTAAAAGCATTTCTTTTGTATATTTAGAAAAGGTGTACATTTACTGCTTTATAGCTTATTGAGCTACCTTGTGGTGGTGAAATCGCTGTATCTGTATTTAATTAATTAATTAATTAATTAATTTGAGATGGAGTCTTGTTATGTCACCCAGGCTGGAGTGTGGTGGCACAATCTTGGCTCACTGCAGTCTCTGTCTCCCAGGATCAAGAGATTCTCCTGCCTCAGCCTCCCTGAATAGCTGGGACTACAGTCACTCATCACCACACCCAGCTAATTTTTGTATGTTTAGGGGAGAGACGGGGTTTCACCATGTTGGCCAGGCTGGTGTGGAACTCCTGACCTCAGGTGATCCGCCCACTTGGGCCTCCCAAAGTGCAGGGATTACAAGTATGAGCCACTGCACCTGGGTATTTATTTATTTATTGTTTGTTCGTTTTTTTTGAGACAAAGTCTCACTGTTGCCCAGGCTGGAGTGCAGTGGTACAGTCTTGGCTCACTGCAACCTCTGCCTTCCGGGTTCAAGTGGTTCTCCTGTCTCGGCCTCATGAATAGCTGGGATTACAGGCGAAATTCTTTTTTTTTTTTTAATTTTTGGTAGAGATGGGGTTTCACTATGTTGGCCAGGCTGGTCTTGAACTCCTGACCTCAGGTGATCCACCCACCTCAGCTTCCCAAAGTGCTGAGATTATAGGCGGGAGGCACCGATACACTGCTGGCCTGTATCTGCTTTTAGAATACAATGGTTGCTATCATTGGCTTGCCTTCAAATATTTGCCTCTCCGTTGTTGTACTAACTTGGGCAATTAATGTGTTTCTAACAGGCTTTTGTGACTGATTGCGAGTTCTGCAATGCAGTCTTCCTAGATGATAGCTGTCCAGTTGCCTCATGTGTCCTTGATTTTAGTTCATTGAGCTCAGTTTTTACTCCCTGTTAACTGTATTGCTGCTGTTTATCCCCTGGTCATACTGTAGTTCATTTAGTCTGCTTTGTGCTCTCTGTGCAGAAGTGTGTGTAAATTTTCCCAATGACATCAGTTTGTTCTTTTTCCAGAAAGAAAAGTGGTAAAATCAAGTCCTCTTACAAGAGGGAGTGTATAAACCTTGGTTGTGATGTTGACTTTGATTTTGCTGGACCTGCAATCCATGGTTCAGCTGTCTTTGGTTATGAAGGCTGGCTTGCTGGGTACCAGATGACCTTTGACAGTGCCAAATCAAAGCTGACAAGGAGTAACTTTGCAGTGGGCTATAGGACTGGGGACTTCCAGCTACACACTAATGTGTAAGTATTTCTTTCATAGGATATTGTGATGTAGGCCCTCAGAGGATGATTTTGTTTTCTGTCATCTCGTATTGATCTGGGTGCACCCTAAAGGATCTCTCTTAACATTTAAAAACAAAATCATTCTTGGTCATTTCTTTTTTTTTTTGAGACGGAGTCTTACTCTGTCGCCAGGCTGGAGTGCAGTGGCGCAATCTCGGCTCACTGCAACCTCCGCCTGGGTTTAAGCTATTCTTCTGCCTCAGCTTCCCGTGTACCTGGGACCACAGGCGCGTGCCACCATGCCCGGCTAATTTTTGTATTCTTAGTAGAGACGGGGTTTCACTATGGCCAGGATGGTCTCAATCTCTTGACCTCGTGATCCGCCCGCCTCGCCCTCCCAAAGTGCTGGGATTACAGGCGTGAGCCACCGCACCTGGCCATTCTTGGTCATTTCTAAGGTGCCCCTTCAAAGCTTATAGTAAAAGAATGTTTGTCTGACTTTTGGTGCTGAGAGGATAAATGTTCATTTTATATGGGGTTTAATGTGCTTTGTATTTTTACAAGAGGCATTAGGTATTGGCAGATTGCTACCAGTGCCTACATTTTACTTAATTATTATGATGTGTAAGGTGTTGACTTGATAGGATTACGTAAAATATGTGGTGTTTTGTTATTGTTTTTTGTTTTTGTTTTTGAGAGACAGAGTCTTGCTCTGTCTCCCAGGCTGGAGTGCAGTGGTGTGATCTCAGCTCACTGCAATCTCCACCTCCCGAGTTCAAGCAATTCTCCTGCCTCAGCTTCCTGAGTAGCTGGGACTACAGGCGCACACCACCATGCCCACCAGGCTGGTCTTGAACTCCTGACCTCCTGATCTGCCCATCCAAAGTGCTGGGATTACAGGTGTGAACCACCATGCCTGGCTGTTGTTGGTTTTAAAAAAAATTATTTTTGTAGAGACAGGGTCTCTACAAAATCTCAAACTCCTGACCTCAAGCGATCCTCCCGCCTCAGCCTTCCAAAGTGTTGGGATTATATGCGGAAGCCACTGCATCCTGCCTGGTGGTTTTACCTACCCCAAACTAGATAGATATATGGAAAGTACTTAAAATGTTTTTTCCCATTGTAAAAATCCATTGGTAAATAACAGAAGCACAAAGAAGAAGATCTACATTTCTCGTAATCCTGCCAGCTAGGTGTGTAATCTTTGTTAATGTTGTGGTGGTTCACCTTTTTATATGTGTCTGTATATATACTTACATATGAAATACATAACCAAAAGGCTGTTTGAGAAACTCTTCCATGTTTAATACAGTGTGATAATTCCACTGGATGGCTGTCCTGTGTTTCGTTTTACTAATCCCTGTATGGGTGTGGGTTCGGGAAAAAACCCACTTGAGCTGTGTTGTTTTTTCTTTTTCTTTATTTTTGAGCTGTGGTTTTGATTTAAATGTAATGGTACAAGCCCATGCCTTAGACATTATTACATTGTCTATTCTAGATCTACTAATTTAAAATATCTTATAGCAATGATGGGACAGAATTTGGAGGATCAATATATCAGAAAGTATGTGAAGGTCTTGACACTTCAGTAAACCTTGCTTGGACATCAGGTACCAACTGCACTCGTTTTGGCATTGCAGCTAAATATCAGTTGGATCCTACTGCTTCCATTTCTGTGAGTACTTCTGTGGACTTAGAATGGGGGTTTTGGTTGTGGGAATGAGTCTTTGAGTATATTGAATTGTGTTGAAAATTTGAACTGATTTCACACAGTCCCCAGTTTGCAGATTGGCTTTAGAATTTGAAATGCTGCTTTTTCTATGGAGGCAATGTTAGAGGTTTTATTTCCAGGCCAGGCCACGGGAGTTTGTTTAACCACAAAAGCTGCTGAGTTAGCTTTGATAATAACCTTGAGCCATAGTGTAGCTAGTGTTTTGGTCCCTGTGTGGTTCTTATCATGTCAGAAATAATAGTGCTTTAATCTCTTTTTTGAAGCAGCCTCTCTCTTGCCCAGGCTGGAGTGCAGTGGCACAGTCACGACTTTGCAGCCTTGACATCCTGGGTTCTAGCAAGCAATCCTACTTCAGCCTCCTATTATTCCCAACCAAATTTTGATTTTTTTTTTTTTTTTTAATATAGAGGTGGAATCTCCATATGTTGCCAGGCTAGGCTCAAGCTGTCATGCCGTCTCAGAGGAGTTTATTAGGATTACAGGCATGAACCACTGCACCTGGCTAGTATTTTAATCATCCCTTTGTCTTTTTTTTTTTTTTTTTTTTTTGGAGTCTCACCCTGATACCCAGGCTAGAGTGCATTAGTGCAATCTTGGGTCACTGCAACCTCCACCTCCTGGGTTCAAGCAATTCTTCTGCCTCAGCTTCCTGAGTAGTTGAAATTACAGGTGCCTGCCATCATACCTGGCTAATTTTTTTTTTTTGTATTTCTTAGTAAAGATGGGATTTCACCTTGTTGGTCAGACTGGTTGGTCTTGGAACTCCTGATCTTGAAGGGCTGGTATTACAGGTGTGAGCCTCGCCTGGCCCCCTTCTCCATTTCTTTCTTTTTTTTTTTTTTTGAGATGGAGTCTTGCTCTATTGCCCAGGCTGGAGTGTAGTGGCGCCATCTCAGCTCACTACAACCTCTGCCTCCCCAGTTCATGTGATTCTCCTGCCTCAGCCGCTGGGACTACAAGCACTCGCCACCAACACTAGCTAATTTTTATATCCTTAGTAGAGAGGGCATTTCACCATGTTGGCCAGGCTCGTCTCGAACTCCTGACCTCAGGTGATCCACCTGCCTTGGCCTCCCAAATGCTGGAATTACAGGCTTGAGCTACCGAGTCTGGCCCACCAATGGCTAGTGTTTAATCAGTCATGCCTGTATAATGAAGCTTTACGAAAACTCACAAGGAGAGGTCAATGAGCTTCTGGGTAGCTGGAGTTAGTGCAAGGTGGTATGCCTGGAGAGGGTATTGAAGCTTTGTGTCCCTTCCTGTACTTTGCACTATACATCTTTTCATCTGTATTCTTTGTAATATGCTTTATTAAAACTGGTAAATGTAAATAAAGTGTTTTTCGAGTTCTGTGACCTGCTTTAGGAAATTAATTGAACCTAAGGAGGGGCTTGTGGGGACCTCTATTTAGAGCTGCCAGATCAGAAGCAGAGTTAAAACAACCTGGGGCTTGCATTTGGCATCTGAAATGGGAGAAGGAGGGCAGTCTTGTCAGACCAGGCTCTTAACCTGTGGCATCTGACGTCTCCAGGTAGAATCGAATTGAATTAGCGGACATCTAGCCTGGGTCTGCTGCAGAAATTACTACTTGCTTGGTTTGTGGGGAAAGCCCTCACACCTGTGGTCACAGAAGCATTCTTTGTTGTGACAGAATAGTAGGAGAAACTGAGTTGAGTTGGTTTATTTCTGTATCCTCAGAATTGATGTCAGGATTGGGATTTGCTAAGAGTGGCTCTAGCTAGAGTGGCTCATCAAAGCATGGTTTAGGAAGAAAAAGGATAAATGAATGGGGAATGAGGAACTTTTGACTCTTAGGTGGTCAGATGGTCACCCCTGCTATGGAGCCACAACTGTGCTATGCTCAGGTACTTAGTAAAAATTACCACTGGAATTCAGAGATAGATCTAACTCCCAGGGAGTTGTCTCACTGGGTGCATGAGGAAATGCAAACAATAAGAAACAGAAAATATACAATTCCTTGATTATTGTTATTTGTAATAGCTAAAATCAAAGTGGAAGAGTGCTGGATTGTACCTTAATGCTAGGCCAGGCTCAGATTTCATTCCGTTTGAGCTTTGGCCACCAGCCTCAAAGCCACACTGCAAGGGAAAAAAGTACTCCTAAGACCTGTATTTGCTGTATTTTGCCCAGTTTGGAGAAATTTAAAAAGTCAGAAGGCAGAGATTACATTGAGAAATGTAAACAGAAATTTCCTGGGACAGTATTCAGGCCTATTAATCAAGATAAAGGTGGACAAATGGGGAAGTGTAGGTTTCTGTTGGGAAGGCAAAGCAAATACCTCTAATTATTACTGATCTTTAATAAAATGGATTTGCAGCATGCTCCTACTGCCATATGGTATAATACTGTTGGCAAGATTAAACTCTCTTGTGTAAATAAATCTTAATGATAATACTGTAATTGATGATCATATGTATTGTGAAATTAAGTTGAAACCTCCTCAGATGTAGTACCTATGGAAAGTGACTGGCCTGAGTAACTGGATCTCACTATCAGCAGATCTCTGTGCTTAATAGTTTTGCACAAGGTACCAATTACAGTATATGGCGGCGGGGGGGAAGCTGGTACAAGAAGATGAATATGTTTGTAATGGCATCTGTCAATCTAAAGGAAGAAACTGAAGCACAAAGTATGATTTTAAAGACCTTACCTGTGCCATGATGAGGACAGCTGCCCAGCAGACTCAGATCCAAGTAACCCTGGATTTGAGCTCCACTTGGCCTTTGTTACAAACATGTTTTTAAAGGCCAAAAATCGGGGACAGGGTATGGGCTGATACAAAGTTGTTTGGCAGGAATTCTCTTTGGTTTACAGAAATAACATTGATTAGTAATTGGCTATACATTGTTCCTTGAATCACAGATAACAGGAACATGAAGATAATCGGTGAGGGTCACATTGTACAGCTTACGGTAGCACTGTAGGTATTTGCGAGCTAGCCTGGAAACTACAAGGAAGAAAAGGAAGGAAATGTTTTTTTTTAAATTTGCATTTTAGGTTTTAAGGAAATGGTTTTAAACAATTGTCCCTGGGTATGGGGGTGTGTCCTGTGACTAAAGTCTCATCCTCCTGTCTCTGGGCCTGGTAAATTTGCATACCTCACATTCCTCATACTGAACTATTGTTTTTTTCCTCTTCTTAGGACAAATTAGTTGTTTCTTTCTTTTTTTTTTTTGAGATGGAGTCTCACTCTGTCATCCAGGCTGGAGTGCAGTGGCACAATCTCAGCCCACTGCAACCTCTAGCTCCTGGGTTCAAGCCATTCTCATGCCTCAGCCTCCCTAGTAGCTGGGATTATAGGTGCCCGCCACCATGCCCGGCTAATTTTTGTATTTTTAGTAGAGATGGGGTTTTGCCATGTTGGCCAGGCTAATCTCAAACTTTGGCCCTCAGGTGATCTGCCCGCCTTGGCCTCCCAAAGTGCTGGGATTACAGGTATCAGCCACCGTGCCTGGACTAGTTGTTTCTTTAAACCCATCCCTACCCTACAGTGGCTTCTCCAGATGATAGGCATATTTGTGTTTGTACTCCTAATATATCTCTTATATAAATGTAACAAGTGTAAACATTTTTGACAGATATACAGACCTTTTAGCTGTAAGGGATTCTTGTGATACTATGGTATATATATTTTGGTTTTTGTCCAGTTCCTGGCTCACAGCTTCTATAAACTCTTGTATTTCCCAAGTGAATAGAGCAATAAGAGTATCTTTTGTTAAGACATTTGGCCATTTGCCCTTGGTTCCTTAAACAGCTCCAGAGCATAAAAGTGAAAGTGAAAGACAGTCTTTTTTTTTTTGTTTTGAGATGGAGTCTCACTCTCAACCCAGGCTGGATGGAGTGCAGTAGTGCGATCTCTGCTTACTGCAACCTCTGCCTCCTGGGTTCAAGGAATTCTGGTGCCTCAGCCTACCTAGTAGCTGGGATTACAGGTGCCTGCTACCACGCCTGGCTAATTTTTGTATTTCTAGTAGAAATGAGGTTTCACCATGTTGGCCAGGCTGGTCTCCAACCCCTTACCTCAAGTGATTTACCTGCTGTGGCCTCCCAAAGTGCTGGGATTACAGGTGTGAGCCACTGTGTCCTGGGTTCTTTTGTTATTTTTAACTGGCCCCTTTCAACCACATCTGAGCTTATGTTAATTAGGTGATTTTTGGCTAGTCCCTAGATGACTAGGGGAACAAACCTGCCTTGGGGTGGGCATAGTAGCTAAAGGTTGAGCCAATGGTGATTTGATTAATTGTGCCTTTCTAAAAAAGTCTTCATAAAAACCGAAAGGACTGGGTTCAGGGAGCCTTCAGAAAGGTAAACAGTAATACATTCATGTCCTTGGAGGGTGGGGCATGCCAGCTCCACAGGGTTGGAAACTCCTGCTAGACCTCATCTATAAAGGAAAAGATAACATAAGTATCTTTTTTATCTGGCTCTTCATTTATGTCCTTTAAAGTATCCTATGTAACTGGTAAATATATTTCCCTGAGTTCTATGTGCCACTATAGCAAATTAATTGAACCCAAGGGGTTTTTGGGAACCCTGATTTATAACTAGTCTGTAAGAAAAGCAGAGGCAAAACAACCTGGAGCTTGAGGTTGGCATTGAAAATGAGGGTGTTGGCAGTTTTATGAAACTGAGCCTTGAACCTGTGGGATCTGATGCTCTCTCCAGGTAGATAGTATAGGAATTGAATTAGAGAACATCTAGCTGGAGTCTCTTGCAGAATTGATTGCTTGCTTGATGTGTGGGAAATTCCCCCTAGGTCTTGTGAGAGTATAGAGGGAGAAACTGAGTTCATTTTGTTTTTTTACTCCTTATCACAGTTTCATGGTTTAACTCCTGTTAAATAATAGGAATTTATCCAGCTGTCTGAGTCTCTTATTTCTAGGGCACAAGATCATCATTAGTGAGGTGTTTTTTTCCTTTTTTTTTTTTTGAGCTTTGTTTCCTATGCTGTAGTTAGGCTGGTGCAATCACCGCTCACTGCATCCTCAACCACCTAGACTCAAGAGATGCTTCCATCTCACCCCCATTCCCTGATAGTTGGGTAGGTGTGCACCATCATGCCAAACTAGAAAAATTTTGTACAGACCGACAGGGGTCTCACTGTGTTGCCTCAGGCTGTTGAACTCCTGGGCTCAAGCGATCCTCTTGTCTTGGCCTCCCAAAGTGCTGGGATTGCTGGTGTCAGCCACCGCTCTGGGCCTATTTTTTTCTTCAGATGGTCATTGGTAGCTCATGAATATTTGGCTGTAGTGCCAAGTAAATACAACTGTTGTGGATGTGGCTTGTGTCTGTATAGATACATCATTTCTTTCTCTGGATTGGGCTTTTTGCATGTTAAATATTATAAGAGTATAGACATCAAATCATTTGCAGATCTGTTTTACTCACATAGGCTGTTACCTTTAAACTGTAGCCCTCAGAATGCTGAAAACAAAGCAGAGTTGCAGCCTAGGCCCTGGGCAACCTAGGGCCTGGAAATGAGGGCAGTTATTCACATTTATATCGATAGGCCTCTAGTGTGGCTTAATAATGTTGTGGTAGAGAATGGAGCTAGAAGGAAGCTACTCCTTATTATGTCTTACTCTTCAGAGTTCCTTCCAAGCTTTGAAGTCTGTAAGTCCTAAAATGTTAGGATTGTGCAAGGAAGGGCAGTGGCCTGGATTGGTACATGATGTCTCACTGGGACCTCCTTCCAAGCGCAGTGGTTACATACAGCCAGAAATCAGTGGCACTAGCGTTCATGAGAAGTGTGAGAATGTGAGAATAAAGGATTGTTTGATTCTGCAGAGGAGTTACTTGTTGTTTGGGGATGTTTTTTTAAAGATTGATGGTTTTGATTCTTTAGGAAGAGCTCTGAAAGTAGTAATGTTTGTAATTAAGTCATGAATTTAAACTGTGCAGCCTGCACTTCAGGGCTGGTGTGTGTCACCTCTAGTGAGCCTGATTTGTACCACATTTTGGTCTGGTTTTGTTGTGCTAGACTAGAATCAACAAGGATTTTTATGAGACTGTTAGGTCTTTTGCTATACAGATAGTTTGGGGTCTTTGGATACATTCCAAGGTCAGTATTGTTGTGTCCTACTGACAATTTGATTTTTGAGTTGAATGGATAAATAGTAGTACCTGGTTTCTGTTTGACTTAATATATAATGTTGAATTTTACTGTCTCACGTGAATAAAACTGAACACTTCATGACGACATGATGGGGAAACATGTAGGGGATTTGTCTCTATTGAAATCTTTTTCTTACAGTTGTTTTTGAATTTTATTTTAGGCAAAAGTCAACAACTCTAGCTTAATTGGAGTAGGCTACACTCAGACGCTGAGGCCTGGTAAGTATTCTTGATAAAGTAGGATTGTTTTGATAGTATTAAAACGTTTAGTTTCCATTCCTCAGCTTATTTTTCATATCTTTCAAGCAAGCACACAGAAGAGTTGAAAGAAGAATACAATAAACACGTGTTTACCTTTTGCCACAAGTTTTTCTTTTTTCTTCCCTTTTTTTGCTAGGCCATTTAGTCATGACACTTGTCTTCAGAATAAGGACTTTCTCTCCTTTTCTACATAACCATAATACTATCACACCTAAGAAAGCAGTGATTCCTTACTATTTAATATCCACTTCCTATTCCATTTCCTCACTTGTATCTTAAATGTTTTGTAGTAATTTTTTATTGATCAAAGTTCACTCATTGCTTTGGTTCTGTCTACAGTCTGGTTGACTTTATATAATATTTTGAGGCATGCTGTGTTTAGAGCAGCGCTTCCCCAACTTCAGCGTACACATGACTCATCTTGGAATCTTGTTAAAGTACTGCGGACTTTTTCCCCCTCCAAATAGGGATTTTCCTCCTCAAAGTTTATTTTGGCGATTTCAAAACCTAAAGAAAATTTGGAAGAGTGGTAGAATGAACATCATATGCATTTAACCCACGTTGACCAGTTACTAACATGTACATTTATGTCTCTGAAACTTTTTTTTTTCTGAGACGGAGCTTTGTTCTTGTTGCCCAGGCTGGAGTGCAATGGTGCAATCTTGGCTCACCACAACCTCCACCTCCCGGGTTCAAGTGATTCTCCTGCCTAAGCCTCCTGAGCAGCTGGGATTACGGACATGCACCACCACGCCCAGCTAATTTTTAATATTTTTAGTAGAGACAGGGTTTCTCCATGTTGGTCAGGTTGGTCTCAAACTTCTGACCTCAGGTGATTCCCCCCGCCTCGGCCTCCCAAAGTGCCGGGATTATAGGCGTGAGCCACTGTGCCCAGCCTGAAATTCCTTTTCACATATGTTTTTAAAGAAATGTATGTTTTGCAAATATTACAGACATGTGTATCCTTAAGATTAAGACATTTTTCTTTATAAGCACGATACCATTGTCACATCTAAGAACACTAATATTAATGTAATAATACAAATATATATTCAGATTTACCCCCGTTCCCAAATGTGTCTTTATTATAGGTTTTCCTTTCTAGCATCTAATTACAATGATGTCTCTAGTATCTTTTTTTAAGATGGGGTTTCACCATGTTGGTCAGGCTGGTCTTGAACTCCCGACCTCAGGTGATCCGCCCACCTTGGCCTTCAAAGTGTTTGGATTACAGGTGTGAGCCACCACGCCTGGCCTCTGGTCTCTTTTCATCTGGGTAGTATATTCAACATTTTTTTTTTTTTTTTTTGAGGCAGAATCTTGCTCTGTTGACAAGTTGGAGTGCAGTGGTGTGATCTTGGCTCACTGCAGTCTCCACCTCCCGGGTTCAAGTGATTTTCCCACCTCAGCCTCCCGAGTAGTTGGGATTACAGGCACTCACCACCATGCCCAGCTTATTTTTGTATTTTTAGTGGAGATGGGGTTTCACCGTGTTGGCCTGGATGGTCTCGATCACTTGACCTCATGATCCACCTGCCTTGGCCCCCCAAAGTACTGGGATTATAGGCGTGTGCCACCGCGCCCAGCCTCGTATTTTCTAGAACACTTTTAACTTCTGGCTATTAACATTTCTATTCTCTGTGACTTGGTGCCTTACCTAGAATGGTAACCCAGTTCTGGTGTCTCAGATATTTCCAAGCGCCCTCTGGTGGCCAGCACTGGCAGGTCAGCTGACACGCTGAGGAAGTGACGGGCAGGGTCTGGGATGACTGTGAAAGAAGGCTCAGACTGAGTGAAGTGCCAGGCACATCACGTTTGTTTTATTTTTTGTTTTTTTCTTAACAGGTGTGAAGCTTACACTGTCTGCGTTGGTAGACGGGAAGAGCATTAATGCTGGAGGCCACAAGCTTGGGCTTGCCCTGGAGTTGGAGGCTTAATCCAGCTGAAAGAAACCTTTGGGAATGGATATGAGAAGATTTGGCCTTAATATATTTCCATTGTGACCAGCAGCAGGCTTTTTCCCCCCAAGATGATGATCAGAACAAAGGATGATCTCAACAAGAGCTGTATTTCAAATATTTAGACAGTTCCTTGTTAGCTGGTTTCTAGTTGAATTGGTTATCTAGTTACCAATGCTGCAGTCCTGCAGTCACCTATACATTATTTAAATGTATTTAACTGTTAAATGTGCTACCCACCAATAATGAAATAGACCTTTATGAAAACTGTGCAATTGTGTGCATGTTTGTTTTTTATGTTCCTTTAGAAAACATTCACTGTTACCATTGAACGAGATGGATCAGTGGATATTCTAAGATGAGGTTAACATTTTTTTAAGTTCAGCCATTATTAGAATTACTTTTGGTATCCTGGAACATGACAAATTATGAATAAAACAAGTATACATAATTAATGACTCCAAGTATTTGCAGAGTTCCATGTTTGCCAGTTACGGTCAAATCTCCCTGGTAACTGGCCAGTACTTATTTTTTCCAGTGAACGTTTTGTTCTTTAACTAAATCTGCCACAGGATCTTCTGTGTCCCTAGAATAATTCCATTAGCTTTTTAAGACTACAATAAGAGGATACATGCTTTGATGCTCTTCAGTTTGTAAGTTTGTGCAGAATTGTACTGTATCACTGGAAGGAAAATGAGAATGTGCTGAAGTTACACATGCACACTGTACCTCTGTGGGGTGCTTCTAGGAAACTAATCCCTGGTTTGCTGAGATGGGGTTAGGCATAGAGGACTAAGGTTTCGACAGTGAGGGTAACCTGAGGGACTGTGAGAGGTTGTTACTCATTTCCTTCCAGGCAGACACTGACTGAAAGGTGGGTATGGATAGACCAGAGGCAACCCCTTTAGGCTGTGTGGCATGAGCCTTCATCTGGGCAGTAATTAGACATTAATAGGTGGTTCTAGCTGGCAAGGTAGGAAAGAGCAAGTTTTCTGTTAGGAGGAGGTAATTTGAAGGATATGATTCAAGGTTGGAGAGGAGATTTGTTCAACAAATCTGTAATAATAGACCTGAAGAATAATGGAGCCTGAGTGATAAGAAACAGAAAAGAGGCTGCTCTGCCCATTGAGTAGCTATTCTTTTATTCCTTTAATTTAATAAACTTGCTTTTGGCTGGGTGCGGTGGCTCACCCTATAACCCTGGCACTTTGGGAAGCCAAGGCAGGTGAATCACCTCAGGTCGGGAGTTCAAGACCAGCCTGACTAACATGGAGAAACCCTGTCTCTACTTAGAAAAAAAGATAAAATTGGACTCATCACCCAAGAAAGGATACATGCTACAAAATTCCAGGTTGAGAAGAAGCTGGTGAGATGAGAGCTCAAGCTCTCCACACAGGAGAGTTGGGGGCATAAAGACCCCTCTGGTCCCACTATGTTTGTCCTAGGGGACTGGTTTGAATGGCCCATGTGAATGAATCATGGTTCTCTGAAAGGCCTTCAGATACACATGACTTGTCACTTGAGCGACAGAAGGTTAGAATCTGAGCCAGCCTGAGTCAGGACCTATTGCAAGGTAAGAGAAGAAACATGAAACGATGTCCATGCAGGCTAGGCCTGAAAGCAACTCTTGTAGTGTGAAGTAGACCCACAGGTAACTAATCACTGCTGGTCTCCTGAAAAACCACTGCTGGTGGTCCCCTGAAGAGAGAAATCCTAGTCATGTGGACTGCTGCCCCTTAGCTAACGGGTGGTCTTGGGCAGTGGCTACAGTAATTTGGACTGAGGTGTGGCACAAGTGAGTTAGCTGTTTGTCAAGGATCTGCTTAAATTCAACCTCTTCATTCATGTGCATCCTAATATGCGTTTATGAGTCAGAAAAGGGTAGGTTTCCAGCCAGGGTCCCGAGTATTGTCCAAAATGCAAAGTATGTCCCAGCAGCTGTGAGCTTGTGGGGCTCTTTTAGCCCTGCTTCCAGGAGTCTCCAGGGGCACCTTCCACCACCGGGGCTTACCAGGTGGTGGCAAAGGCTGCTTGAATTCTAGGCTAACGGCATTTCCGCCTGAGGCAGTGTCAGTGGAAAGAACCTGACCTTCATCTTGTCCGTGGAGATACGATCTGTGGGGTTGGGGAAATTTAAATGAGAAGCAGAGGACCTGGGTTGAAGGTGCTCCATAAGTCCTGGTTCCTTCACCTCCCCTCAGGCAGAGGTTCAGGAAAGCCTGAAGTTCTTTTCATCCTCTAGGGAGTGTGGTAACTGCCGTATCTACGGGCCAGTCTACTTCATACCTCCCTGGCCAGTGATTCCCCCTCACTTTCCTTCAGAATTTCAAGGAGAGGGCAGGACCTGAGGTCCTCGGGTCCAGGCCAACTGGCCTGGCTCTCAGAGGTGATGTCCCCTGATCCAGGGCCTCCACTGGAGAGGTGATGCTAGGGAGCTGACTGTGCTGTGAAGACATGAGCAAGCCACCAGCAGAACTGGCATGACCTACAAAAGCACATAAGTGACACCCGTGGTCCCCTTCAATCCTCTTTCCTGTTGTCAGATCCCAGATGGGGCCCCCGCCAGTCCCAGCTGCACAGAACCAGAGAGTTTCGTCTGCCCTGAGGGAGAGGTGTAGGAGGGGGACAAGCCCAAGGAGCTGGGGTCTCTGGCAATCACACATGGCCAGGCCAATTAAAACTTTATAACCGGCCTCCTGCCAGCTGCAGGTTCCTGCAGTAAGACCATACCTGGCGCCAGGGAGGGGAAGAACCTCAAGGCCCCTTTCACTGAAGGGAGCTGTCTGTGCTGGGCCTTCCCTCCTTTCCCCAACCAGCGTCACACAAGGAGGCTCAGGAGGTCCCAAGCCCCACTTTATTGTCGAATTTAAAACTCAGGGTCATTCCTGGTGGTCCCAGGCAACCCTTCCTCAAGCCCACTCACTAGGGGCCAGCCCTAGATCTTGAAAGCCAAGGTGAGGCCATCGCCCAGGGGCAGGAGACTGATGTAGACCCTGACGTCCCGCCGGATGCGTTCGTTTAGGTTCCGCACACACTGGGCGGCCACGTCCCCCTGCGTAGGTTGCAGCACCTTTCCGCGCCACAGGACCTGCGGGGGGCGGAGTTTCAAGAGGGCGGGGCCAATCGGGCCGAGGGAGGCGGGGCCTCAGAGGGAGGTGCCCTGACGGGAGGGGACCAGAGCCCCGCAGTGGGTGGAGCCTACGTGACTGTACTGGGTGGGGCTTTGGGGTACAGAGGAGTTAGGGGAAAAGACGGGGACCCGGCCCGAGAGAGAGAGCTTTCTCCTCCCCCGCCGTGGATCCCTTACTCTGAGGACGGCGAGGATGCCTCCCGGCCGCAGCAGCTGTAGGCAGCGCTCGTAGTAGGCGGCGCAGTTCTCCTTGTCCGCATCCACCACGGCCACGTCGAAGGTGCCGGCCTCGCCCGCCGCCAGCAGCTCGTCTTGCGGGAGAGGGAGGGCAGGTGGGGCTGAGTCCTTGGCCTGGCGGCCCTAAGCCCCCTCCCAGGCCAGCCTGGGCGCTGTGACCGCCGGTCCTGCCCTTAACCCGCCCGGCAGGCCCGGTCACAGCTGGGCCCACTGGCCCCGTTTGCAATGGCCACAAAGCCCTTTCCACTTCGGTGCTCACCCAGGGTCTCCAGGGCGGGCTTCAGCCGGAGGTCGATCTTGTGCTCCGCCTCGGCCTGCAGAGGGAGCGGGTCAGCCGTTGCGCCCTCGCCCGGGGCTGCGGGGCTCGGTGCGGGCGCTCACCTGCCTCCACAGGGGCCGCCCCAGCTCCGGGGGCTGCGCGTCCACCTCGCAGGTCACCACGCGCCCATCCGCGGGCAGCGCCAGGGCCAGCGCCAGGGCGGAGTAGCCCGTGAAGGTGCCTGGGACGGGGACACAGACGGGCTCAGCCCAGAGTGGGGGTCAGCCCTATAACCAAGGCCCTCCGGGATCCCAGCCGCGTGCCCCTACCCAGATCCAGCGCCTTCTTAGCCTGGATGAGCCGCGTCAGGTTGGCCAGGAGCTGGGCCTGCTCGCAGGTCATCATGGAATCCCCCTGTGGCTGCTCCAGGGTCAGCTGCGTGAAGGGAGAGGGCGGTACCAGCCCTGTCGGTCATCCGCCGCCGTCCTGGGGTCCCAAGCCCCCAAGGGAGCGGTTCTGGGCGTGGTCTGGGGGAAGGGCCCTCCGAGAACACCCACCGCACCCAGCCCGGGGAAGCCGGAAGCCCAGAGAGGGCCACGGCCTAGCCCAAGGTCACAACGCCACGTGGGACCCGCTGGGCCCGAGGTGGACGCCAGTTCCCGCCCCGAGCCCTACTGACCAGCCTCAGGCTTCGTAGCGCCGGGTGCTCCCGCATGGAGCGGCTCAGCAGATACTGCCACAGGGGGCTGTCCTCGGGGGGAAGCAGGTGCAGCTCTCGCAGGCCTCGCCATGAGGGCCACCGCCTCCCTGTAGGGAGAGGGTGCTGGGTCAGGGCCCGGGGCTCCGCGGTCGCAGGAGTTAACCTGAGCCGTGCCCCGCCCTCCTCTGAGCCCGCCCACTTGCTCGCCCGCGGGGTCCGGGTCCTGCTCACCTAGGAAGAGGCCGGTGGCGAAGGCGGCGCCCAGCGCGGCTGAGCCCAGGGCCAGCGCGGCGGGCACGGAGAGCCGGGGCATTGGCTGGGTCATGGCGCGTGCAGGAGGTGGCGGTAGGTCACGTGCGCTGGAGCTCCTGGGACGGGTCTCGGACTCGCGGACCCGCCGGGCTCCGCCTTGTGGGGGGGCACTGCCCTCGAAGCCGCGGTCTCGGACACCATCTGGCGGCCACACAGTCTTAGTGCAAGTCCCGCCCGAGAGAGCCGGGCGCAATCTGGTGGCCGCGGGGGGAACTGCGCCCCTGCGGTTAGCAGGCCAAGAACTTGGATCTGAATTTTCCTGCCATGCCCGCTGTCCAGGGGCCTGCGTCCTTTGCCCTCCTGCCAATGCTTTTTTCTCCTCGCCACCATTTATGCTGAGGCCCCTTGGGGGGTATGTGGATTGTGTATGGAGTGTAAGTTACAAGATAGTCACGAGTACAAATGATACAGATTAAAGGGGTGGGCCTCCTGGGCAAGATGCCCCAAAGCATCAGACTGAAGGAGTGAGGGACCTGGTTTGAGGGCACGCAGCCTCGAGTTGGGGTTCAGGGGCCCTGGAGTGGGCCTGGTTAATGTGGAACTGAGACCATATTTTTAGCTGTTAAAATCCTGCCTTTGGGGGCCAGATGGATATCAGTGTCTGATGTTGGGGCTGCCAATCTCTCTGAGCCTCAGTTTCCTTCCTGTAAAATGGGGCCCACAATCTTACCCTAAAAGACACAGATCCCACAGCTGTGCACACAGTAGCACAATACATAAATGGCAGTCGCTGTTATGTTCGTAGATTAGAATGAAGATATCTTGGGGAGAACGCTGGTGAGGCCCCTTTGCATGGTTGTTCTTTTGAAACACTTTCCAGAGAGCACTGATTCAACTCCTACCATGCGCCAAACTCCGGAGGAAGTGAAAGATGCTGTCGTGGTTGTTTTTGTTTTTCCTTTTTTTTTGACTGTGCCTTGCTCTGTCGCCCAGGCTGGAATGCAGTGGTGCGATCTGGTCTCACTGCTGCAACCTCCACCTCCTGGTTCAAGTGATTCTCTTGCCTCAGTCTCTGGAGTAGTTGGGATTACAGGCACACACCATCACACCCAGCTAATTTTTGTATTTTTTGTAGAGACAGGTTTTGTCATGTTGGCCAGGCTGGTCTTGAACTCCTGGCCTTAAGTGATTCATTTGCTTCGGTCTTCCAAAGTGCAGGGATTACAGGCCTGAGCCAAGTGACTGGCCTTGTTGTGTTTTTTTTTGGCAAGGTCTCTGACAAGGCTGAAGTGCAGTGGCAAGTTTACCGCTCACTGCAGCCTCAAGCTCCTGGGCTCAAGCAATCCTCTTGTCTCAGCCTCCCAAGTAGTTGGGACCATAAGCAGTCACCACTGTGCCCGGCTAATTAAAAAATTTTTTTTTTTTTTTTTTTTTTTTTTACAGGCGTGGGCCCCGGCGCCTGGCCTCTGGTTGGTATTCTTAGTGAAGCTGGTTTCAGAGACTCAGGTCACATCCAACTGGCGGGTGACCTAAGCATCACGACTTCTGCCTCTGTGAAATGGGATTATGAATAGTCCCAACCTCCCAGGGGACCAAATGAAAAAATCCAGGTGGAGGACTTTTATGGGGCCTGGCACTTAGTGAGCTGTCATGTTACCTTTAAAAGGAGTCGAAGTCAGAAGGGCAGATGCCCATCTGCCTGCTGCTCTGCAGATGTCCCCGGGGGTGGAGGCTATAAGAGTCCTCCCCCCCAACCCCCACCACCCCGGCGCCCAGGCTGGAGGGCAGTGGCTGATCTTGGTTCACTGCAACCTCCGTTTAAGCGGTTCTCCTGCCTCAGCTGCCCAAATAGCTGAGACTACAGGCACCTGCCACCACGCCTGGCTAATTTTTTGTATTTTTAGTAGAGACGGGGTTTCACCATATTGGCCAGGCTGGTCTCCAACTCCTGACCTTGTGATCCGCCTGCCTCAGCCTCCCAAAGTGCTGGGATTACAGGCGTGAGCCACTGCGCCCAGCCAAGAGTCCATTTTAACAACGCTAACTAGGCATTGAGCTCCACTGAGGGGCTCAGCCTGAGCGAGGCCCAGAGGCCAGCTTGTTGAGGGGTTAATGAGAGAGTGGCTTCGCTGAGGCTGAAGGCCAGAAACTTGAAGTGATCTGAGCTGCTGGAATCTTGGGCCTAGCAAAGGCGAGGCAGGAGGAGGCGGAGCTCTGCAGCGAGGCTCTGGGTAAGAGGGCACGACCTCCAATCAGAGACAGGGGTGGGGCTGGTCCTTTGATCAATCAGCCAGCTGCCGCTGGAGCACTTGGCTGTGTGGGCACTGAGCCTGCCACTTCGGCCCTCCTGGTACCTGCCACCGGGCTAGCACCCCTGCTTGAGGACAAGCTCATTGCCCCTTTATTCTTTGACCCTCTACTCCTGCTTGGCCTCTGACTTAACGTGAGCCTCATTCTCCAGCGTAAGGACAGAGGCTGCTGGTCTCTCCTTTCCAGGGCTGAGCACACAGCAGGTGCTAAATAAATGCTCTTGAATAGAGTTCTGGCGCTGCCCGGCAGCACTCTTTGCTGCCAGGAGTAGAAATAGTAACAGCGGGGGGGCCTTTATTGAGGACCTGCTGGGCACCAGGCACAAGGCATCCAAGGTCCGGGGGCTGCTGTGATCTTGTTTCCATTTTCCAGAGCAGGAAAGCTCAGAGACCACTGCCCAGACCCCCCAGCCAACAGAGGAAACGGGCCTCCCGCTCCCTTGTACCCTGGGATCCAAGGGGAACAGGGCTTCCTGGCTCCTCTACTGGGACACATACACCAGACGAGCTGGCCTGAGGGTCCTGGGCTCAGCTGGGGCCGCGGACAGCCCTCTCCCTGCAGCCTGGGGGTCCAGGTTGCAGCAGGTTCCTAGCTCAGACCGAACCTCCCTCCCACAGCCTGGCTTTAGGCCTGAGCGGTGGAGGTTGAAGGGGAGCGGGCGGGGAGGGGAGGCATGTCACCATATATCCCGGTCAGATTAAAAAACTAATTTGAAAAGATTAATGTATTCCATTCTTGTTACGCTGGCTGTGATACCTCTGGGCCCACGGCCGCTCTGCTTCCTGATTATTGAATTTTTATGGCCTGGTAATTAATTGCAGATTCCCTGTTTTGTTCTATTTCTTTTTCTCTGACATTTTAATTTCAACAAAAAGCAGTGGTCTCCATGCAGGTTCTCTCTGGAGATCCTAATGGTCTATAAAACAGAATGACTTATAGACGTGGCACCCACTTCAGTTGGCGAGCGATTGTTTGAAACCTTGCTGATCAGGCAAAATGTAATTTTTCCACCTCCCTCCCCTTTTTGCTACTCATTTCTGGTCTTTTGCATTGCGGCACCAGCATCTCAACTCACCACGAAGGCAGCAAATTGTCGTCTTGGAATCTGTTCTAGGGCTTTTTCCTAGAAGCCTGGGGGTTGAGTAGGGTTTTGATTCCCCTCCTTGGCAGTGGGCCTGGTAGAGAGTTGGGGGAGCTGAGTCTCCCCAAAGGGCCATGTGGATGTGGGCAGCAGCCTCCAGGGGAGGGAAGGGGCAGGAGAGGTTATTTCCACCTGTCTCAGGTGCCTTTTGGCTAAATGCCATTGCCCCATTAAGCACCAAGGAACGTGAAGGATGAACATGAGCATTAGTACCTGCTCTGAGGCCCCAACCAGGGAGAGAGGGGGTCAGTTCAGGCTGAGAGGACTGATGCAGACAGATGCAGATAGCCTGATGTTCTTAGCTGACCTGGGTCACCGGGAACAGCTGTCCACACAAACAGGTCTGGAAGAGACCCCTGAGTTTCCATCCTAGTGGCCTATTTCTCATAGCCCTGCTAGCTTCACATAGGCTGGGCACTGTCCCCTGTGATCCCCGGGGACTGGGCAGGGCAGGAGGCAGAGGGTAAGGTCACAGATTCAATCCTAAGGGATTGGAACTCAGATGTCTTTGGGGGGCAGGCAGGTGAAGTAAGCACAGGGAGGCAATAGTGGGCGGTGGGGACTAGGGCACTCCAGAGCTCACCCTCCACTGGGGGACATCATGGCCACTTGGCTTTAGCCTTGGCTGTCAAGTGGGAAGATGGGCCCAGTATGGCTAGAGCTTCTGATTACCCAAGAGAGATTGGGGATATGGCTTTCAGTGTGAAACTTCACAATTTTTTTTTTTTTTTGAAACGGAGTTTTGCTCTTGTAATTAGGCTGGAGTGCAATGGCGTGATCTCGGCTCACCGCAACCTCCGCCTCCTGGGTTCAAGCAATTCTCCTGCCTCAGCCTACTGAGTAGCTGGGACTACAGGCGCACGCCACCATGCCCAGCTAATTTTTGTATTTTTAGTAGAGATGGGGTTTCACCATGTTGACCAGGATGGTCTCGATCTCTTGACCTTGTGATTCACCCGCCTCGGCCTCCCAGAGTGCTGGGATTATAGGCATGATCTACTGCACCTGGCCTCACAATTTTTTTTTTTGAGGCAGTCTTGTTTTGTTGCCAGGCTCACTGTAACTTCCGCCTCCGAGGTTCAAGCAATTCTCCTGCCTCAGCCTTCTGAGGAGCTGGGACTACAGGCACATGCCACCATGCCTGGCTAATTTTTTGTATTTTGGTAGAGATGGGGTTTCACCATGTTGGCCAGGATGGTCTCAATCTCCTGACCTTGTGATCCATCTGCCTCGACCTCCCAAAGGGGGCTGGGATTACAGGCATGAGCCACCGTGCCCAGTGAAACTTCACAATTTTAAACATTGTGTGTGTGTGTGTGTTTAAATACTGTTGGTCAAACTGAACATATCTTTGAGCTTTTGTCTGCTCTGGCTCATGAGGCACCTCTGACTCTCAGCATGAATGAGAGAAGTTAGGGCATGAAGTGGAGTCCCCTAGGGTAAGAGGTGGCCAGCAGACCACCACCCAATGTCTGGGTAAGGTCTACCAGGCTCCCCGAGGAGGACAGTACCTTTTACCTAAGACGTCGGGAGGCAGTGCTATGACTCCAGGGGCTCTAAGGTGGCTCAGGCCGTTTACTAATGCAGGCAGACACAGGCAGAAGGGGACTTGGAGGCTCATGGGGCTCCTCACATGAACTGGGAGCATGAGGGGGCTACAGCCTGGTCCCACCTCCTCTGTGCTGAGATCCTGGGGAGCTGACCCTGGCAGTGCCTAGTGA